GACTACCCTTTTGCTTGGATGCAAATTAATTCTCACTTCTATACATTATAGAACATTTCTCAACTTTTCTTGCGCGGTCTACATTAACAACAGAGAGAATAAAAACCCTTATACACAAAAACATAATTCTTATACTGCTCCCCTTTGTAGTTGACCATATTTCTCTATCGAGATCAAGTTGGGAAAAAGCTGATTTAAAAAAACGCTGTAAGTCTTCAAGTCTGTCGTAGAACCACTGCATATATGTATTTTTCAGTAATACAAATATTTCACTTGAAGTTCTCATTAAGTTCAAACGAAAGTGTTAAGTAATTTGGTGGGTGTATATATTCATCCCAATCCGTGACACGCCTTTTAGGTGAATATACTACATGTAGACAATATTATCAAGTTAATATTTTGATGAAAATTCAACTTAAAAAAACCTTGATACCACTGTTTAAAAAATAATGTGAGAGATGCCTAAGACGCGTAATTCGTAATCACTGTCTTATACCGTGTTCACATGTGTGCCACAAAGCCGGCTTGTCTAACTTTGTAACAACCGTTTTCAGTTGTTATCAGTGAGTGGAACTCCAGAGCGAGGCTGTCACTGAGAACGTGCTAAAGCTGTTTCTGTGAAGATGGGATGCTGGTCGAGAATTGACATTTTAGGGCGGCTTAAACTAAATCAACGTGGACCCGCCTTTTTATATTCACACGTGTTTCAACACCGGTTTAACTATAAAGACGGCTTTTTGGCACACGTGTGAACATGGTGTGGTGTTATTTGCAAATTTAAGAGAAAGGCGGTGCAATATTAGGAATCTATCAGTAATTCAAGTGAAACATAATTTCAATATCAAATATACTTCCAAGGATCTCCACAAATAGTTTGACCAAATGAAGTAGTTTTCATAAATTAGTTATAGTTCACAAATAAAATAAAAATAACAATTGAATTGCGGTCACGAATTATACCATTCCCTTCTCAATAATGACATGACGTATATTTCAGGTTAAATTAGTATATTCATTTAATTTGGAGAATATCGGCTAAAGAATTAGGGGCACTAGCGCAACAAAGTGAAAATTAATTAAATTTAACATTATACTGCAATACAATATTTAGAAATATTTGTTTATGTTGTGTTGTCAAATTACTTACCTACTCATTGTTATGTGCAAGTTATAGTCAAGTTATTTTCATTTCAAGGAGTCCGTGAAGCTCTCACAGATCAAAAGAAACATTTGATAAGTTTTGGAGAAGAATTTGAGGTGCAATTGGAAGTCTCTGCATGTCCTCGCGAAATGGAAGCAAGATACTTAAGAACATGTGCCACAGAAGGGGCAGATGACGTATCTACTTCTAATGTACAAACAGACGTAAGTTTTATGATTATATAATACAGCTAGGCCGTAGGTAGGCTGTATACCTCATACACAATAAAGTTGTACAAGTTCAAATGGTAAATTTTTCTAGTACAAGAATTTATCGAGATTTTAGAGCTTCTGGTAGCATATATAGTTTTATAAGCCAACTGGATAACTAGTTTGAATTACTACATTGCAAAAACATGATGGTTTGACACATACTATTTTATTCTCTCACACTAGTCATTAATGTCACATTATAATATTAACCTACCACTGGAAGGAAGGACGTTAAAACCAGGCTGGAATGTACAATCAGAAAACAAGGGCAGTTTCAGTAAAAAAGGTAAAATTATTTGCATCATGATTATTCAATATACATTGTTAGAACAGGGATTCAAAGTTAACTTAGTGGGTTGTAATTCCAGGATTTATGATACTTATTTTTCTGTGCAATATAGTAATATCTACCATATTGGGCCCACCTGGCGTCACATGCTTCTGATATTGGTCCACCTTTTCTTGACAGTGTTGATTCCCCCCGGAAATAACTGAAAATCAAGACAACAGTTTATTTTTCATTGAATATATAATTAAATTTTTACTAATTTCTACTGTATTTGACTGTGATCATTGTATTTGCCCATGCGACACATTGGTTCATTATTTTCACATCAATTACATATGGCGTTCCAGTAGTTTAGTCCTCGTTTTACCACGACCGACACTTGTGACTTATGTTATGTGCTTGAAATATTGTGGCCGAATTTAGTGCCTTCACTATGTTAAAATTTTTCACCTTTTTGGCACATGTGAATCTAAAATGTACATTTTATATTATATAGAATTTATAATTCTATTCTATTTTGCTATTCTATTGATAAATCAAATAGTTGAAATAGTTTTAGAATATTTTAGAAAATGTTCAAGACATATACAAAACAAGTAACCTGTAGAATGCTGTGTGGGTAATATTTTTATATTGATTTTTGTTGCATTTGCAGCAAATAGTTACCAAACAATGAGAAATCTATAGGATTGGATATACCTCTCAGCTGGCTTCACATGCATAGTTCAAGACTGCCTAACCGGTGCTTATACCAGGATTTAGTTGCAGCACTGTGGTCTGTGGTTACAGCTTCATTTTCCGAGTAATCACAAGAAATTGACATGACAATAGAAATTCATGAAAGACTGGCACTCCCATACAATTAATAGCAAGTGAAATTCCTGGAATTGAAACATAGATTTTGAAGTCACTGGTGTAGGCATTGAATAACTTCAAGTTGGCATAAAG